TAGCTGTGTAATAAATTTTGCAATTAGGGAGTGAAAGGTTTCCAACCTTATCCTTCTTCTTAAACAGTGCTTTGCTTATCCTGGGTCACTTTCCTTTCTATGTAAAGTTTGTAATAATTTTTCCCATCTCTTTGAAATTACTAGTTCTATTTTGTAAGTAACTTTTTATTTTTTCCTGAGCTACTCTTAGAATTTTTTCCTTGTCTTTGGTTTTGAGAAGTTTGACTATAGTATATCTTGGTGATTTTCTTTTGGGGTCTCTCATGTTTGCAGTTTATTTAACTTCATGAATTACTGTCTTCTAGTCTTTCACGATAATGAGGAAATTTTTTTCCAACAGTTCTTGGACATTTTTCTCAATTTTTATTTTTGTTTTTTTTAAACCTCTTCCTGTTCTGGAGTTTCAGTCACATGTGATTATTCCTACTGATAATGTCCCACATAAAGATCAGGCTTTCTTCTGATTTTTTTTTTTTTTTTTTTCATTCCTTTTTCTGATTATTCCCCTAGCAGATGAACAATAAAAGATTTGTCTTCAAATTCAGTAATTTGGCCTTCTATTGATTCATTGATATTTCTTTGCCCTTTCAACATACTATTTCCAGTTTTTTCATATTAATCTTCTCAATTTCTAATTGCTGTTTTTGTGTGGTTCCTAATTTTTGTTTTCTTTTGTCAGTTTGTTCTGGTAGTGTGTTTTGGAATTCCTATATAAAGTTTTTCAGAGTTTGCCTTGCTTTTCTTTATCTTTTCTCTCAATCCATTGATGGTACATAAATATCCTTCTTTTTCATTCCTTATGAAGTAGTTGTAATACAATTTCTGGTATTTTCTAACCCTGTATTTGGTCATGTGTTTGAGACACTCTGTCTTCTTCTTCGTATAACCTGAGATGATCTGTTCTCTCCAAGATACTGTGGTATCATATTTATGTTTAATTGATGGTTGTATATTCGTGTGTTTTGAGGCGCTCACCATCTGTCTCCTGGTGTAAAGGATAGAGACTGGCCATGTTCCCATTTTGCAGATGAAATGTCTGTTATATACTCCAGCCAACCTTCACAACTGTATATTTGGCTCTCTGCTTGTCACTGTGTGAAGTTAGTCTGCATTGTCTTTGCCTCTGCTGTTTAGAAGGGTTCTATCAAAATCAGTCCTAGTCACCAATGGGCAAGGACACCTTAGTTGATGATACTGCTGTAGGCTTCTAAGTGGGTCCACTACATACATCCTGGCTCCTCAGCCGATACATCAGGTGGCACCCCATCTCTCTCCCACCACACAAGTCTCTGAGGGCAGGGGCCTCCCTTGGTGGACACAGCTCGTGGGGCCCAGCTGTCTGTAGGTGGAATATACCATCTGACCAGGCAAATGATTGTGCTTTCTTTCACAGATCCTGGCAGTCGGTAACTTTCGAAAGACAGCCTGCTTCCTTCATCCGAATTGTTGGAACACACAACACAGCAAATGAGGTAAGGGTCTCTCTTCATGAGAGGGGCTGTGATACTTCGCGGTGTCCAGGTAACTGCTACATGTCGAGTTAAGTGGAACTGTTTGTTCTACTTGCTAATGGCCTGTTGTTCAGACAGCTTGGTACAGAAGAAAGTCCTGCTCCTGCACAGTGGGGATATCATTATCATTTCTGGATGTTTCTTCAGTAGCAAATGAAAGCCAACCCCTATTGCTTTGCTGATTCCAGCTCTCCTTGGAATCGGAGACCACAGAGACCTTGAGAGGTCAAACACCTGTCCTTCATCTCTGTGTTAAGTCCTCTACCCTCCCAGGTGAAAACTATTGCAGAAGTCCCTTGGCCCTCTGAGCAGGGTGTTTAAAGACCCCCATCCCCATAGGTGGTGGCTGTGGCACACAGTTGGTGGGTTTTCGGTCTACTCAGTTCTGTGTTGGGCTGCACATAAATGTTTATGAGTGAATTACTTCCTTCCAAGCCTGGACCCTGAGAGGCAGGAAATAATTCCACTGGGAAGTGCTGTTTGTGGATATTCCTTCATCTTTAGTTCTAATGAGGAAGTAGTAGGCCCCACCCACCCCCTGCTCTTGGCAAACCCCATGGTACCTTGGTCTTGGCGGCAGTCAGGTGACTTGTTCAATCCTCAGACCTGCCTTGCTGTTCTCTCTGGCACAGAAGTGACTCCAGGGTATTTATTCTCTGGGTTCTTCTGGACCAGAAAGGGAAAAACAATGTCACAGTGAGTAGAAAGGCCATATAGTTGTTTGTACAGACCAAGGAAGGCACTTTTGAGTGTGAAGGAGGCCCCTGTTAATAATGGTACTGGAGGACAGGTGGAACCCAAACCTGTGCCCAGCAGGCCGAGGCGTGTGACCACTTCTCATCATGGGCTCACAGATGGCTCTCAGGATTCACTCACACCACTGAGGATGAGAATGGCATCTGCTTCAAAGTTGTGTTTAAAAAAAAAGATTAATCCATAGATTAGTTATTGACCTATTTGTTCTTCATGTGAGTCTTTCATAAGCAGTTGTGCTGGGGGGTTGGTGTCTACTAGCAGATGGCCATGCTGTTGACTTTGGTTGGCTCATCGGTTGTGAAAAGACAGTCCTACTGGATTTAGTGTATATTCCTGAAGCATGGTTAGATAGGAGGCATGAGGAAGGGTAAGACTGAAATCCAAAAGGTAAATGAAAAGAATAAGGATAGAAACACTGCTGCAGCTTCAAGTTCACAGGCCACTTCTCATCTACGCAGGGCCAGCTTCTTGGGCATGGCTTTTAAAGTTCTGTAGTCACCATCTTCAAATTCTTGCTAATTTGGTCTTTAAATTGGGTTTTTATGTGTGAAGCCCCATGGGAGAATGGTGCCTGTGCCTGGGGTTTGGCACCTTAGCTCACATGACGTCACACCTCTTGCTGCCTCCTCATCACCTTCCCAGAATGGACTCTCTGCCACATGCCCACCTCTATCTAGCCTGGTTCAGGGACGGTCAGCTTCCAGTGGGAGCACAGGCAGAGCCAGGTGCCTGAGGAAGGTCTGTGCTTACCCAGAGAGTGTTCTCTGGCCCCAGGGAGCCAACATTAAATAGCAGGTGGAAACCACTACAACAGGTTAAGAGGGGTTGGTTGCAGAAGATAAGAAACACTTTTTCCTGCACTTTGCACACAGGCTCCTCATTCCCACTCCGCTCTGTACCGCTCCCGCATACAATATACCTAGCCCTAGGTCCATACATTGTATTTCTCTAATTAGAAGTCTCATGGAGGTCTTTCTGATACTTAAAAATTTAGTTTTTAAAGTGAAAATATTGTGATAATTTATATTAATTTCACCTTTTTATTTATTTAGAATCAAAGGAATTCACACCCACAGTGTTTCTCGTAGACAAAAGCTTTTAAAGGAAAGCTTGAGACTGTTTTCCTGACCTCCTGAAAAACAGAAAACCAGAAACCTGAAAATTATAAAAGCAAACCAGTGGGTATTTTTTTAAAGCCCCAAATCTAAGAATTTGAAACATCAGGTCATAAAAGCATTTTTCTCTCTTTTGTTCTGATGTAACACAAGTAAGTTTCAATCTGCATTTTTATTAGATTTGATCTACAAAGGAAGTATCACATTTTTTTCTATTTTGTCAACAAATCCCAATTTTTCCTCCACTTGAACTGCTTCCAATTATGCACACAGGGTAATCAGACAGCATTGCGGCCAGGGCACCCGCTTGTACAGCACAGGTTTATTCCAAACAAAGCATGTTTGAACATGCCTCTCTGAGCAGTGGGTAGCTGCAGACAAGTTCTCCTAGACATGCACTTGTCTGAGTCTCTTTTGGGTGTCTTCCAACACAGGTCCAATCACAACATTGGCTTCCAGTCAGGAACTGCTAGGCGGCCAGTTCAACTCAACATAGGGAGGTCAGCTCAAGAGCTTATGGCAACTGGTTGTGGAAACTCCAAAGTAGGGGTCATCTTGACAGATGTTTTCAAGAGACATCTGTGAGAAAAAGGCCTAGAAAGTTGTGCTGAGGATTGTTTTTTTTTCTTTTTTTCCCCATCTCAACAATGTACCTGCTAATCTTCAAGGGTAGCAAAAGCTGTCCAAGGAGAATTTCTTTAGGAAACCTTATTCCAGCCACCCTACAGCCCCAATCTTCCCCCTTCAGATTTCTTTTTGCTTACGAAAGTAATAAAACATTTAAAAGGGGCAGGTTTTGAGTCCCTTGAAGATGCCCAAAATGTGGTTCTTTAATGGTGTAAACTGAAGACCATGGAATTCTTTGGGGAAGGGTTATAAAGATTGAAACACTACCTTCAGAACTGTAAACATAGATGGAGATTATGCTGAGAAACAGTAGCTTCACGCTTTTATATTTTTGCTTAATAAAGGTTTCTGTGATTTTGTAGTAATACTTTTTGACTTACCCTTCATATATTATGAAATTGGAAAACAACAATTGAAATTTTAAATGAAAATTAAAATTTTTATTCATAATTACTTGTTTCTTAGGTAATGCATAAAAAAAGATTTGTTTTTTTTTTTTACTTCCTACATGGGGTTCTGAAATTGTATGTTATGATGAAAGGCGTTTTCGAGTCACAAAATGTTGAGCAGTTCCTTGGTAAGTCTGGCCAGGGTTTACTGAGCCCTGTTCTCAGCACCAACTAAGTGACCAGGGGGTGGGGTGGGGAATTGGACACTTTATTTCAAAAGGAACTTTAGAAGCCGCATAATCTCCCATTGCAGAGCTCTGAAGTTGGAGTATAAGGTGTTTCTCTCTGTGGTTAAATTCCCCAAAAATATCTATGCAAGGGGTCCCAGCCATTTTGTTAGATACTGGACCAGCCCATTTGAATAGATTGATTGATCTGTTACATGTGGCTGATAAGCAGCTTGGTCAACTGCCTTATTGAATCGCTTATTGGTTAGAAAAAAGTCCCAATGGGGCGGGTAGCGTCTAACGTCATAAACTAATCATGAACAGCATCATTAGTCAGGATCCATAAACTAATTCTTAGAGGACGCAAGAAGGCACAAAAAAGGTCGTATTTTACTTGTTAAGTGTCATCGAGTTGTTTCCGACTCCTAGCAACCCTGAATAGAATTTCCAATGAGCTGCTGGTGGGTTTGAACCATTGAGCTTGTTTGTAGATAGCATTTCAGTGCTTATCCTACAGCATAAATTTTACTGTTGTTGTTAAGTCCTGTTGAATTGGTTCCAAATCACAGCAACCCATAGGGTTTCAGAGGCTTTAAATCTTTGGTGTGGCACTGCAGGTTAATGCTCTGGACTGAAAGGTCGGTTTGAACTGCAAGGTTGGCAATTCAAGCTCACTAGCCGCTTCTCGGAAACTCTATACAGGGTTGCTGTGAGAACTAACTTGAAGGCACTTAACAACGACAACAAATCTTTCTCCCACAGAGCAGCTGGTGGGCTCGAACCTCGGACCTCATGGTTTACAGTCCATTGCTTATCATATGGAGCCACTGCACTCCCTGAATTTTACTAGACAAAATATAACAAACCTTCAGAGTGGTCTTCATGGGTTCCAGCACATTCAATTCGTTCTGTCACTTGGAAAAACAAGTCTGTTGAGTACGGTGAGAATGTATATAAGTCAGCATGGCAGAGTTTGGAGGTGTGAAGGAGTGGGTTTATAGAAATGGAAGGAGGGTGACTCAGGCTTGCTGGGTAGGACTCTTGGGAGAGAGTGTGATGGGCAGACTGGCTGCTCCCTGCTTCATGTGCAGGTAGAAGTTGAGGAGCAGAGACTGACAGTGAGGTCAGGAAACCCAACAAGACTGACGAAACCCACAGGTGTGCTGTCTTCATCATGGGAGCCAGACTGTGCTCTCAGAAAGGGTCAGGGAGCCTCTACTTCTCAAAGACAGGTGGGTGGAGGGAACAGGGGGTTCCCCAGTCTTTCACTGCTTGCCTGCCAAACATCATTGTTGTTGTTAGTGGCCATCGAGTTGGCGCCAACTCAGGGTGACTTTATGTGTAACAGAAGGAAGTGCTGCCTTGGGCCATCCTCACAATCACTGTTTAAACCTTTTGCACCTGTTCCGGACCTACTAGTCTTCATTTTACACCCAAGACCTGTTTCCCTTTATGTGTACCCAAAGACCTTTTGCTAATTCAAGGAGCATCGATGGAGTTGGTTTTTAGCATAGAAAGGTGAAACAGAAAACCAATGAAAATAGAAATGTAGGTGAATAAACTCTTGGGCCACATCTCCCAGGAAAGTCTATTGTAAATAGGCAGGGGCTGCCCTATCAGGGCAGGGAGAGTCAGAGCAGGTGCTGACAAGGAAGTGTATCTTGTGTGTGGGAGAAGCAGTCAGAAGAGTTAGTGGTTGAGCTGTTGTAACAAAAGGCGGTAAATGGCCTGGACAGAGTGGACGTGGCCAGAGCTGCCGGCCTTTTCGAGTCCCTAATTAGGTTCTCCCCTCCAGAAGCAGGTGGGTTGGCAGGTGTTGGACAGTGGCAATGAGACACTTCCCAGCC